CCCAATCAAATTCTCAGCATAATGTCATATTCAAAACATTGAAAGATCAGTGTCAGTATTTTAATTTTTTTTAAACCTCTATTTAAGCCTTGAAAATCATTGAGCTTCTCGACATTTGCAATGATTACGAGAAATACACAGATGTTGACGTAGCCTTAATGCAGCAGGTATCAGCTGGTATCAGCACCTATCCCGCAGAGCTCCGACTAAAACCATCAGACTTGAGCTCACAGTCTGCTAAACCCAGCTCCCGATTAAGGTTTGATTGTCCGTATAGTGGAGCAGACAGAGTGGGATTTGTAGTAAAGACAGATGTTTTAGAGGAAGGGAAAGTATTCTTGCTCCACAGCCGAGCTTAAGCTTTGTCATCGTTGTTAAGATTTGGCCTCATGAACCCATTTCTTTAATTGGAATCTGGGCGAAGGAGGCCACACCTTGTGTCAATATTAGCAGAGGGTATTAGAGGAAAGGCCACACCTGAGTCAAACAGTATTTGGAATATACAGTTTTTAACCTGTGTAAAGTATCACTGGTGGATAATTAGTACAATTTGACTGTGACACACAAATCTAAGTACTTTAATAAATGGAACTACTGACATAAAAATAACTTGGTACTTGTTCAAGGAGTCCAAAGAATGAGCAAAAGTCTCGCCGCCTTTTTGATCCCCTGGTCCACAGCCATGTGCCACTCAATGTATTTCCTCATACACCCTGTATGAGAGAATACATTGAGTGGCACATGACCCATCTATCTAAATGATGACACATGGTTCTGAATCTTTCTGTATCGCTATTGTACTGATGAGTCCAACCTTGGAATTTTCGCTCAAAAACAACATATCAGTCCCATGGAGACATAATAGAAGTCGAGGGCGATGTTACTCAAATGTAACCGTTTCATCTTTTTTTGTAAATGACAGCGATTGAATGTTATTTGAATTATATAATCCATAGGCCTTCAGTAGCAGAGAGTGTAGATTATGGACAGGAAACCCAGAGCACCTTTGAGATTGATGAAAGAAACCCTAAAAAAAGTGCTCAGGTTATGGTGCTCTGGGGTTGATTAGGAAATGCTTCATACTTTAAATACACAGAGAATTAATATTATGGGCTCAGTTGTACAGATCTCAGCTTGATTTTTTTTAAATGAAGAAAATTAAATCACAAAATTGGAAACTGCTATCACTCTCCAGTTGTTTGACAGGGGTTACTAATAAACTCTAGTAGACAACTAAAGGTATTTAAGTTTAGTGATACTCATAGAAATACAAACATGCAGTTCCAATTAATTATGCAAACAATGCATTTTGCCAGTTTTTCATCTGTTTAATTATGTGTACAGGTATTTGTATAAGTGAAAGTTACCTGCAGTTATCTTCACCAAACAACTTCCTGCAGAGGGTCTTTTCATAATAAACCTCAGTCTCTAATGATTTAAAGGACCAGAGCTCTGTTTGGCAACTTTACAATCATTTCTTCAGTATCTACTGTATTGTATTATTATGTGTGTGGAGTTATGTGGTCAAAATATTAATATTATTCACGGATCATTCCAGTTGTGCAGCAGTTAGAGTGAACACATGTGAAAGTTCCTCCATGCAGGTGAAAGCTTGTCAGTATTACTTAGCTCTTCCAGGAAACTTAGACCCTCCCTGTATGATGTTTCATAGTTCAATCCTTCAGTGTGTGAGATTTCTCTCTCTCTCTCTCTCTCTCTCTCTCTCTCTCTCTCTCTCTCTCT